TCATCGTAGCACCATCCGGACGATTGTCACACTTCGACACCTTTTCTGGAGATCACAATCCCAACATCCCACTGGATCAGCATACAAATGACTTTTTATGGGAAACAGGGCTTAACAGGTTATAGCCCCAAATATCACTCTTAATTTGGTTCAACCGCCTTCATCTGGAGTTGAACTGGTATCTTGTGATCTAACCTGTGGAGTGTTAACCACTACACTATGGACCCACAGGTCATTTAATTTTAATTTTTAAAATTATAATTAAAATTTAAAATATAATATATTAAAAATATTAAATATCATTATTTTTGAATTTATAAAAAACTTTTTTTTTGAAATTTAATTAATTTATTTTTTTTTTACAAATGAGCATTAAATGCAAGACTTTATTAAACAAGTAATTTGTTTGAACCAATACATTAAGAATCTTTCTACCAACTGTATAGAATAATCCTAGTCTATTACAATTAAGGTGGCATATACAAACTCTAAAAACCCTCATAAAGAAAGAGAAAAAAGTAAATAAAAGCTAGCTACTAGTTATTTATAACCAATATATGTGCTCACTATGTGGTTGACTGTGAATAGAAAGTGGTGTGATTAGAAGAATCGATTTTTGTAATTGCTGGACCTGGGAACCAGCTTGTTGTTATAGTACGGCCTGTGGGTCTATCCATATTAGGGGCCTTGTTTCCAATATGGCATAATCATCTTACGCCGATCTTTTGGAGGGGTAAGCTGGTCATGGTTTTTGATATAAATAGAAGTTGGAGATTAAGATGAGAAAATAACTTCATAATGAATTTTCTCGAATGTGTGAGGTGGTGGCAAAGTTAAAATTCATATAAAAGTGCTTGTTCAAATACATACTTCTGATTCTATATTTCAGGCAGGACCAGGACTTAGCCAATACAAAGCTTTATGCATAGAACCTTTTCTGCTTACTGATTTCCTCTTTTAACGTACCTCGTTCTCACTCAGTAAGCTTCAGTATGTTAGATGGTGACTATAGAAGGGTTACTTGGCTGATTACAGAGTATACTTCCAACCTTCAGTCGAAATACTGTTACATGGCCTTTTCTCAGTTGAATACTTTGGAATTAAGGATTGGAGTTTTATGGCAAGAAGCCCATACTTCTTGATAAAACTTTTTTCAGTTAAGATTAGATAAATATATTCGGTCAAGATAGTGTTATTGCTGTGCTATGGGGTTGATAAAATGGTGTCGGTGACAATAAGAGAGAGACCTAGAAAAAAAACCTTCAAGAGGAAGGGAAAACTGTTCATCGGCAGGAAAGGGAATTTGGGGAAGGGGAAAAGGTAAAAGGTAAAAAAAGATAAATTGCTCTCATGTTTGTGATTACCAGACGTACATAGAATCTCGCAAAGAAAAGGTTGGCACTTCCAAACCTTCCTAATCCTTATCTCAGACTGCTGTCATGCATAGGAGTTGGTTTGCTCACGCTTCCCTAAACATAAATGTTTCTTTTAGGTGTACTGCCAAACAGTTAGAAGAGCCTCGTGTGGTGTCAGCACATCTCAGACTTAACTTGCTGCAAGCTTTCACCTTTTGCAGAAGAAGAGAAGCGAAAAGAGAGGAGGGAAAATTTCCTAAAAAGGAAGTTTTTAACGAAGTAAGGATAAGTGGGAAAGTGTTTTTTTTGTAATTTAAAATTTAATTTATTATAATTATATTGAAGGCATTATTTATAATAATATTTAAATTTTTATTTTCAATATTTATTTTTTTTAAAGTTAAGTAATTTTATTACTTAAATTAATAGTAATATAATTATTATCAAATAATTATTATTAAATAATATAAAATTAAATAAAATTTGATATATTTCTTATATATTTCTTATATTGTATTAATTTAATATATTATTATATTAATATATAATTGTTGCATATATGACTTCTATTTATCAATTATAATTAATATTTTTGAAAAAATTATATTTAAATTAAAAGTATTTAATAACAAAAAAAATTTATAATATAAATTAAATTCTTTTATTTAATTTAAGAATTTTGTATTTTCAATTATAAAACATACTTATTGATTATTAATAATTTATTTTAAAAGATTGTTATTTAAAGTATTTACTTTTATCTTATTATTAAAATTATAAAAATTGAGTTATTTAAATTTGGTTTAATTTATTTAAATAAATTTCAAAAAGTAAAAGTTTTTAAAATATTTATTAATAGTTGTTATTGCTATTAATTTATTAAATTCTTGTTTATATAATATATATATATATATTGTTTTTATTTAAAGTTAATTCAATATAATTATAAACAGGTGCTTTTTTATTTTTATTTTTATTTTATTTATTATTTGATAAGTAGGTTTTTATATTTGTAGATTTTTTAGTTTTTATATTTATAAGTTTTTTGATTTTCATATTATAGATTTTTCAATTTTTATAAGAGTAGATATATTGATTTTATATAAAAAATATTGATTTTATCATTATTTACTTAATAATTGTACTATTTTTAATAGTTACTATTTATATAATATGCAAAGTATCCAATAGATTTAATTTAAAAAACAATTAGATATTAATTAAAGAAGTAAATTTAAAAATTACATGACTTTATGATTTAAGGATCAATAAGAGATTGATTTAAAATTATTTTTGAAAAGATTGAATAGGATCCGATCCTAAAGAATCAATTAACATCTCTAAATTAAACAATAATTATATATAAAGAACAAATAAACAAAAGATATATATTGCAAATATATTTTAAGTTTTATAAAATTTTAAATTTATTGTAAAAAATAATATGCAATAAATAAATACCATGTTTATTTATATGCTATATTTTATAGTATTGTTTTTATTGATTTAAATATATATACATATTATTGGGTTTTTTTTTAATATTTAAGAAAAAAATATTTGCTTTAATTCGAAGAACAATCAAAAAGTTAAAAATTATTTGAAAAAATAATTATAGAGTAAGTTTTTGAAGTGATAAAAATATAAAATTTTCTTATAAGTTTTAAATAATAAAAATTAATAGTTTGTTTGATTACAAATGGTAATAATAGATTTATTCTAATAGTCTGGATTTAAAATTAGATAAATTTTGGTTATGCCTCAATGACGAATGTCTGTGAACTAACCAGTTCCGTGAATCCAAATACATATCGATTCATTCGCATGATTCTACGCCCATTGGTCTTACTTACTTCAAATTTCAAATTTACTTATTTTTGATCATTTATTATCAATATTTAGTAATTGAAAAGGACTCATTGCCAAACATGTATACCATGTTTGCACATACGAGTGCAGAAGGCGGTGGAGCATTTTTTGCTAGTCGGTCGGACAGACGCATTGTTACACCGATTTGACCTCGTTTCAAATTTTCAAATTTAACGTGACTGTGTTGTTCATTGACATGGATCTTTTGTGGTAAGAGAGAAAAAATGATCTTCCTTAGTATATTTGCTAGTGGTATTAAACTCGTGAGGCTGGTGAGAGTCTTTTCGTTTTGAGAACTTGAAGATAAGACCGTATGCATCATCAAATAATCAAATAATGGTTAACTATTATGGTGTGACTATACCATTTTTATCGACTATATAAACGCCCGGAAAAACTCATTAGGCATTGTTACACGAAAATGTCATTAGCAAATTAAATACAGATGAAAGGGGCGCATGATGATAATGATAGAGTAATTACAAATAAAAACGTCGTTAATGACAATGGTTATAAGAATTTAACTCCAATTGGGTATAAGAAACGGTACAACATTCTCGTGTAATTCATTAATAACACATTCGTTGAATCAGGAAATAAAAATTTCAAATACTGGTGAAAACAAAGATTTCTCTCGATTTCTTTTTAATATTATTTGCATTTGAAAAAAAAAATCGATCAATCCGAAGTCATATTTAGGAAAATAAAAGATCACACACAATTGTCATATCAGCAAATTCACTTGGTTGTAATTAACCAACCATATGGAAATTATACAACTTTACTAGTATAAAGAGAAAGAACAGCAATTTATGTGGATACGAACCTTTCATCCCAAGATGTGAATTCTAGAATTCTAAACACCAGTTATTTCGTTGTGTATCCAGCCAAAAGTGTCACCACATCTTCGGCTGTATGGAAAAATCTAAAGAAAAAGACAAACAAATAATCATATTGTATATTGTATACACAAAACAAATAAAAAAGATAATGATACCCAAGGAAAAGATGTTCTCTTAATTGCCTGGACAAAGAGTAAATTTGGTTTTCATTATGGTTTTGCAATTCACGCGACGCACTTTCAATATTCTGTACATCTATGGAAAATCTGATTTGTGGGGATTGGTTATACAATGTCCTCTTTCTCGTTCAAGCACGCCTACTGCCGTATAACGATTTTTATTTGTTAATCGACGAAAATCAAATGCAAAAGGTGATTTTTTAATTCATGCACGGCACCAAATTAGACGCCACTTTCACTGAAAAGTTTAAATTTTCGCAACATGAACAGAATGTTGAAATACCATATGTACAGTAGGTCGTATTTTGCATTCTTACTACTGAGCGTTTCATTAAGCACAGCCTTGATTGAGATAACCTTAATTATTGATTAGTCTCTGCTTGATTTGGAAGGGGAGCAGTTGAAATTATATGTATGCTGTACCCTTTATCAGATTTTAGCCCCTCCCAATTTGATCCCGAATAAACTACTAAATATAGCTTAGTGTTTACCATTTGTTTGGAATTATGGGCATTCGTACTCAACCAATCAGACATTCCTGGGGGTTTTTTTTTTTTTTTTGAATTAAAAAAGGATTTTTTGCGACCTTCTCCTTTTTGAACTTTCTCATTAGACTATTCATCACTTTCTTTACTTCCTTTAAATATATCTTTATCTTGATACATGCAAGTGCTAATGTAGAATAACACCCGTGAATTCTTCATTTAAATATTCTCCCTATTTCTCAACATATTCAACTATTCCACAAATCAAAAATGGTTTTTAAATCTAAGAAAAAAGCCGATCCGTCAGTTTATAAATCTCTGTCTATCATAACCCTCCCGACTGAAATTCTTCTAATGACCTTTTCCCATCTTGAATTTCCTTCACTCTTTTGCCTATCAAATGTTTGCAAACGCTTTCAAATGATAGGAGAAAGATGTATGGCTGAGAAATTCAAGAAATCAAATGTCGCGTTATCCCTTTCATTCGAACAAGAACACAGATGGAACTATGGTGTCCAATTCTTCCTTGATCATGTTGATTTGAAAAATGGAAGATTTGTTTTCAAACCAAGAATATCCAATGTAATGAAATTCATTCGCTCACCGATGATCCAAAAACCTACTATATGCAAGATACAAATTATCCGAGTTGATGAAGAGAATAATATTAATGCATCATCAATAACAGTAGATAATGCGGCCAACCGAAACGGCACTATGGTTCGAAATAACAATGCACCGAACATGACTGCTGCGCGAGGAAATCAACGACTCCCTGAAAACTTTGTACGGAATCCATGTGCGATCTCCATTAAGCAAACCAATGCTACTGTCGAAAAAATAGTGAAGATATATCGGATAGGTCATGGAACGACTCATTTAAAATCTTCTTTTAGATTTACATATTCTATTACTGATAAACCGCCGCCGTTAGAAAATGCGGATCGTGGTGGAGAACGGTGGATAAAACCCGAAAAATTTGAGTGTTATGCAAGTTTCTTTTATCCCCATGAGCCGACAGCCCATAAGATAATGATGAATCTAATAGAACTGAAAAATAGGAATGGTGGTGCTAATAAGAAAATCAAAAAATCTAAGGACATTAATTCAATTAAGAAAAATCATAAGGGAAAGATTGCGGATTGTTCGGATGATTTTATTATTGTTAATAAGGGTAAAGATGTAGTCCATTATGCCAATTCGTCTAATAAAGGGAAGAACGTGATTCGTTCTGAGGAGAATTTATTAGAGATTGAGCTGGATATGGACGGACAAGAAGTATCTCGTCGGGAAGGAAATATGAATAGCATGGATCTTTCTTATCTACTGGAAATGCAAGAAATGCAAGAAATACAGGAACAACAACGACAAGAATATTCGATGATGATCAGGAAATTGATAGGCCCTATAAGATCATCAACACGGTGGATTCGTGGTGCCAGGAGATAAATTGTCGTGATAATGAAATTAATCATCAACATTAAACATAATATCTATACAATAATAACCCTTGATTTCGAACATCTAAATAGACCATGTAAAAAAATTTTCTTATATATATATATTCATAGCATGTATAGAATTTCGCGCGCATTTGGAGTATACTGAATTCTTTATTTATGAAATAAACCGTTTTACTGTGTTTACTTATTCTCTATGGATGAATTCGGACGAATGTCATCTTTATTTGTTTTCAAGGTTTTGAGGGTGAATGTTCGATAGTTCTGTAATCCTTTACAGATCATTTTCTTTTACTTATTAATATTCCATCGAACGCCATATTTAAAATGTTGTTTATATAATAATAATTTTTATTTGATTTTTTAACGAATATTTTCCTCCCAAAAACCTTTCATTATTAATCAAAAGTATAAATATTTTATAATAACATTTCGAACTCACAAATACATTACAGCAGAAATATCAATCCAAGATACGTAAATATTATTCAAAGAATTATTAGAAATATCAAAGAATAATACCAATACCACGCAATACGGATTTTGTAACAATTTTCCAATTAGAAATCATGCTGTAAATAAAAAATTTGTTCGCATCAAAAAAAAAAATCTTTTATCCATCATCAAGCCTATATACTGTATATATATATACTGTTCATCGAAATTATATTACTTAAATCTATACAATTAGACAATACAGTACATAGAGACATTGAATGAATAACTTGATGATGTTGGCCTAATTTATAATTTTGAAGTCAAGGTTTTTTTTTTATAGCTAAATTATATTTCAAGCGATGACTTTTTAATCACACATTGGTTTTTATACGTATACCGTAATAGTTATATAAATTATATTATGGTTTGTATTTATTATTACCATCTTATAATATTAATATATGATATTAATCCTTTTGCAACTTAAAAATCAGATATTTTCAAGAGATTTTTCATTTTTTATGATAATAACATTAATTGAAATTTACTTATTTGAAATAAATAATCTCATTTACCAATTATTTGACAAAACAATAAATAATTTAACAAATACATCAAATTCACAAAAAATAAACTTTGGCTATAGAGTGATATATAATATTTGTCAATAAATTTATTTAAATTTAAATTTGTTTAAACTTATTTTAATCAAGTTTAATATTTTACTGATAAAGTTATTAATTCATCTATTTTATTAAATTTTTATTATATTTTTATTATATTTTTATTTATTTTGTTAAATTTTTATTATATGTTTATATACAATAATATACAATATTATATTTGAAATTTAAAAAATTAAATATTAAATATGTATTTAAAAAATCTTATTAATCAAATTTTATATTTAAATAAAATAAATTAATTAAAAATAAAAAGCAAAAAAACTAAAAACTTTTTTTTACTCTTTTTTATATCTGGAAATTTCTTTTTTAAAAATTTTTAAGTTTTCTTTTTTTTTTGTTTTTTTTTTCTTCTTTTTTTTTATTTCCTTTTTTTATATCCTTTTATTATATCCTTTTTTATTCTTTCCTCTTTTTTTTATAAACTTTTCTTTTAATATACTTATTATTTTTATTTTTTTATTATTCTCTTCTTTGCTAAAGCTAGATTTTTTTTTTTTTTGAAATTTTTCTTTTTTAGACCTCTCACTTTTTTAAAATATTATCTTTTATTCTATTATTCTTTTGATCAGTTAACTCTCTTTTCTCAAAAATCATATTAAAAAATAACAACTTTTCTTAAGTTATAGGCTTTGAAAAAAATTTTTTTTCATGATTTTTAAAAAAAAAACAAATAGTTTATTCTATATATATTGTTGAAATTTATAAATTCTTAATACAATTAATACAATTATTATACTTTTTTTTTTTCTTAAAAATTTCAAACTTTAGAAAAAATAATTATAGATTTTTGAAAATTTTTTTTATTTTCTTTAAGTCTTTTACCTATTTTTTTAAATATATAAACTTTTTTCTGGTTTTTTTAAAAAATTTTGGCTATTTCTGTTTGATCTTAAATTTTTGATTATATCAGAATTTCTAAATAATATTTGGTTTAAAATTAGTTGATCTATATGTAACAAAAAATATAAACAAAAAATATAAATTTATATAATTCTATGCAACTTATATCTAATGATGTAATTGATTATAATAAAAAAAGCAAGATAATAAAATATAGTTTGATAAAAAATAAATTAATACTTTATTCTCTTTTCTTTTAAACTGGCTTTGTTTCTCTTTAAAATTAAAAAAAGATTTTATTTCAATTCAATAATAAATTAACTTTATTATTAATTAGCTTAAAAATAGTTGAAAAAAGAGATTTTAAAACTACTTACTTGTTAAATAAAATTATAATTACTTAAAGAACTAACTAAAAAAAAATATTATTAAATAATATATCAATTCTTTTTAAAGATTAAAAGTTTTTGAGTATAAAGTTTCAAGAAATATTTTTCTAGAAATATTCTTAAATATTCTTGATTAATAATTAAAATAGTAGAAATTAAATAAATATCCAATTGCAAATAATTGATAAAATATTATTCAAAAAGAGTTTTTGTTTTATTAATACAATTTTATTTTTTTATTTTTATAGAATTATAATAATTATATAATGATAACAGTTTTGAATAAAAGGCTGACTGTGATGTTTTAGACTGATAAGAATTATTAAAATAGAATGAACAATTTTTTTATTTATTATAATTATATTTAGAGGTTTTAGATTTATAATAAATATATTGTATAATATCAATAAGTTTAATCTTATTATAATATTTCTTAATTATATATAAATATCTTTTGTATAGAATTAATAAACATAAATAATATGCAGCTTAATTAAAATAAAATAAAAATCTAATAATAATAATAATAATAATAGCTTTTTTTTTATTTGTTTTTATTTTATTAGAAAACTTTTTTTTAAAAAAATTTTTTTTCTTTTATTTAAGATAAAATTTTATAATAAAATAAGTTTAAAATATATTAATATTATACAAAACTTCTTATTTGTTATATATATATACTGTACACTAGTCCAAATTAGGTTATTCGGCTGCCGAATTACAGTCGATTAAATCCAAATTTATTAATAAAAGTTTATACCAAAGTTTTGTTGTTTGGTCCAATTTATGCCATTCGGCACTTAAAAAAAACACAATAATTTGACAAAAAAAATATAACATTCAGCAATAAAATCATTTGGCAATAAAATAATTTGGCAATAAAATCATTTGACAATAAAATCATTTGACAATAAAATCATTTGACAATAAAATCATTTGGCAAAAAAATCATTTGACAAAAAAATATTTCTAGTTAAAAAATATTTAGCAATAAAGTTACAACATTCTATAATAAAAATTATAATGTTTGGAATAAATTTTTATTATTTAACTATAAAGTTGACAAAATTATTTAGCATTATATACTTTGGTAAAATCAAATTGTATATTTTCAATAAAAAAATTGCTTTTATAATAATATTTGACAAAATTTAATTAATATTTATTAAATTTATTAAAAATGTAAAAAATATAAAATTTGAAATAATTATTCACTAGTTATTTATTAATTATTTACTTATTATTCACTAATTAATTATTTGATAATTATTCACATATTATTCACTAAATTTCTTCTCTATTTCTTCATCTAAATATTTCTGCTAATAATTTTCATTTTTTTCTTTTGCTGATTTCACCATGGCCCTTGTAACTTTTGAAGATTTTATAATGCCAAGTTTCTTTTGCTTTGGATACTTTTTTATGGTTTTTGTGATTTTTTTTTAATTTTCTCCTTTAATATTGTTTACTGAATTTTATCCATTTATGCATTTTCTTCAGTTTAATATTCTTTTCTTTTTGAATATATAAGTGATTTCTTATAATTAGATATCCTTCATTTTTTATGTTTTTTTATCAATTGTTTATCTTTTTTACTTTGTTCTATTTCTTGTTCTTCATCACCTGATTTACAAGTCCAACTCAGCATGTTTTTTGATAAAGTTATATTGTGACAATAAAATTTACTATAGTTTTGTTTACGTATTAGTTGAAATAGTTAAATTGACTTTGCATATTTATTCAAATTTTCTAATAAATCTTTCAACTATAAAATAATTAGTAATAAATTAATTATTTAGCATAAAATCATTTATTAAAAAATATCTCATTAGAATATTAACTATGGTCATATATGTTTATTCTTTTCTTATCATTGTTTTCTAAATCAGTTTCACTTCTTTCAGCCAAATAGACTTTTGGTTTTTTAACTATATCGATTAATTTTTTCTGTTATCTTACAATATATAATGGTTTAAATAAAAGAACATGTTAGTTATTAATAGTTTATCATTATTAAAGGAAAACTTTATTAATAGAAGGTGAAGCAGACAACTCTAAAGATAATTAAAGAAAAAATACAATCTTTAAATACATGTTTTCCCAATATAAATAAATAGAATAAAATATATAAAGAATAATATACATATAATCTTAGTGGTTCTCCTAGAAAATCATATTAAATAATAAGAAAATTAAAATAAAATAAGATAATAAATAAATTATAAGTTTAATTAATATATTATTAATATTTTATAATCCCTTGGTGTCAATTACTAATTGATAACACATGTTAATTAATAAAATTATGTTGGATTAATAATTACTATAAGTTTTGAATTTTATGTCACTTCAGAGTTTCAGGATTGGCAGATGTCATGTGACTTTGAATATGTATTTTAGTTTAACCATTAGTATTCTTTGGCTAAAAGTCTAAATCCTTGATTATTGAGAAATTGATGTTAACAGTATCTTTTGACCATTAATAAAAGATGTTCTTCTCATCAAAATACATATAGTCTCTTAAGATCATTTGAGAAATTGTCATCTGACTTTTTGAAAAAAATTGGGATTCTTGCTAAACATTTATAGATTATTATACAATACTCTTGGACTTTTTGTGAATAAGTAACTGTGCA